CAGGAATGCTGCAGGGTCTGCTTCGCAGGAGCAGAAGCCCAAGGTTCACACCAGCCCAGCTATGTCTGTCCCAGTAGCGAAAATTGGGTCAGTTGTGCATTGGAAAGTGGCTGAACTATATTGACTGCTTGCCTGCTCCTCTCCTGCTGCAGCTGCCATCCCTCCAGGCACCAATCAAGCTTTTCAACATGTCCCCATGTTTCAGCTTTCTTCAAGAGTTCTTTTTCTTAATAGCACAGTGCATTTGTTTGGTAAAACAATCAGTGAGCCCCAAGCCCTCCACAAAGACAACCTAAGCTCATTTGTATGAAAATCACAGGCAACACAGGTTACTGGAACACTTCTGTCCACTGACTCCAACAGCAGGGGCAATTCTGCCTCAACTGCAAATTGCCCAACACAAGCACAGTGTTCTTCTTCAGTCTTCCAGCAGCGTATCCAAGCCTTCCTATCTGCACACAACTGTGAGGCTCAGGTCCCAAAGGACTATTTAAATTGAACTCATGAAAATCTTTTTCAAAGAGTATGTATCACTGACTCCCAACCAGATCACACAGCAACCAGAAGGATCTCAAGTCCATTCAAGATGCTTTTATAAAGACATTGAAAAATTATCACAACCAAACTTCTACACTGACTTCTTATAGGCTCTTAGTTACCCCAGTCATATTTCATATGTTACCTATCACTATTAGAACAGATAGCTTGATATCCATTCTCACAATGTACCCTCACATCCTCACAATGCAAGTTAAACTCCTCTGACAAATTTATTTCCCCAAAGAAAAGCAGAAACATTAATATAATAAGAGAGATTGGCATGCATTACTAAAATCGAAACACTTGGAAGTCACACTGGGCAAAACCACAAAAGAAACATGAAAATGAAGGAATAAAGACATTTAAGTGTGAAACGCAAACGAACAGGAAATGTTGAGTGTAAAGTGTTCATTTAATCCATTCTTGCCTCAAGACCATGTTACATAAAGAAGTCAAATACAGTCAGTATGTATCCCATGGGACAGAGTAACTGGCTGCTATTAATCAGCTGGGAGAACATTCAGACTGCAGCATTCTTGTGCCCAAAAAGTCTTACAAAATCTGCACTGCTCACCAGAGAGTGTACATTTGAGTTTAAAGGCGTGATGCTATTGACCGTGAGTTCATCCTAGGTATAATCTCAATTTATAACCATAAATAATCTTAGTTCAAAGATTTCTTATGTATTTAGATTAGGACTTCTATGTGTGTCCCTAGATAGTTACTCACCTGGAGCAAAATGCTGTCTGTTCTACACAGCCCTTCCACAGACAGCAATGGCCAAGCTATTAAAGGGTTCTAGAACAGATCTACTTCTGTTTAAAATACTAGTATTTATGGCAAAAATATAGAGACAAGACAAATTTAGAGGGTTTTCCAGCTCTGATTCACACACAGAATGGAGAAGTTTGTACTGCAAGTTTGTTCTAAACCATCCATATTGTTAATCTTCCCAAGCTGTGAAACTTCACAGATCTTGTGACTTCAGGCAAAAGATGACTCAATCTGCCTGAGTTTTGTCCCTTGCTGGGACAGATCGGATGACGGGGGGAGCTAGCAAGGTCTGAGCTAAGAAGCAGTGAGCAACAGCTGCTCCAGCCTCTCTTCCATTTTGTTGGAAACTTCCCAAAGATTATTCAAATCACTATTGTTAAGCTAATTCCCTAGAAAATTGTTCTGTGCACTTTTCAGTTGTTATTCAGCACCTAGTAGCTGACAGGAATGTTTAATTTTTCAGTAATTTGGACATGATTACAGAAAGGCCAAAGACAAAACAAGCCACAGCCCGAGGCTCAGGCATATGTTTGACCTGTAATATATGACATAGTTTCTTCACCTTGGATCAGTTTTTTCACCTTTCTGTGCTTTCAGTCTCTGTCTTTTGTCTGTTCAGACCGCAAAGCTGTGACAGCAGGTGCTGATTTTTACGCTGTGTTTGCACTCTCTCCAGCACCCCATCACCTGGAAAATTCATGTCCTACTGTAGTATAAAGAACAAGAAGACCTGTGCTTGCAACACTGAAATAAGCCAAATCCACACAACAGTTTGTTGACTTGGGGCATGAAAACTTCACAACCTTGGGTGATACCACATCAGCAGAAAAATCTGAGATCTCAATTTGTTTATGCTTCCAACAAGAAGCCTTTACTTATATTTAGCTTATGCAGAGAAACAGCGTAAATCAGACAGCAAAAATTACTCCAGATCTTGGCCTAGTCCAGGTCTACACCAGGAAGTTCTACAGTGTCCCACTGCAGGCTGTATTGTGGGTAAGCACAGAAAATCTGAAGTAGCAGACCTCAGGCTGTGCTTTGTTGGCGAAGTCCCTTATTTTTTCTCTATAAGAAAAAAATATCTTGATCCAGAATCATAATCTTCTCTTTTCACAAGAATATTCATGCATCTAAAAAACAAAACCAAACCAAACAAGAAAACCAAAACCAACAGTAAAATCCAATGCATTTTTTCCTCAATTACTGAAAACATAAGGAAAAAAAATCAACTTTTACACCATCTCTGGGAAACTTCTCCTTAACAGGCAAATGTTTCAGAAAGACATAAACATATCCAGCAGAATATAAAACCAGAAATTGTGTTAATCATCACTATACCTTTGTCTGCCACCTAAATGATATTTGTCAGATTTACATATGGGTGCCAAAGTACTCTCCACAATGCACTTCAATTACAGTATTTAAAGCTTGACATCTTTAGCTAGGTTTAATAATTATCTGTTTTCCAGAATATTCATTGTTAATTTGGAATTTTCATTGTTAATTCGGACTATCCACTGCTATTTTTTTACACCTTTCCTTGAAATGACCTGTCACATGATGGAAAAACAGACGTTTCTTGGATTTACATTGTTTTGCACTTCAAAAAGTCACTTAACAGAAAGAGGCATTCAAATATTTATACCTTCACAGAATTATTATTTTCTTTTACAATGTAATACATAATCCAAGATACAATCAAAGCAATGGCAAATACATCTTATTATATCACATAATGCTTACATGATCCTGATCTGCTTTTTATTCATTTTGGTACAGTCATTTTGAGTCAATGAAATTGTCTGTTCTTCAGAAAGGGCAATGTTTTAGAATTATCCTTCTTTCTTTGCTTTTTATTCTTCTTTCTTAGTCATATTTTCTTTTAGGTTATAGCCTTTTTCAGGCCATATCTATTTTAATAGAGAGCATTACACTTCAAAAGGTTTTGCATTACCAACCTTATAACAAATTTTTCATAGTCTAATATAGATTAACCTAGATTTTGCACAACCATCACATAATCTTATGAAAAACTTAATTCCTACATATTTTGTGTAAGGTTACTTTAAAACTATAGCATTTAGAAAACAGATATTTAATTGTGTATTTTCTTTTTTGCATCTGTGATACAGTTAACTGTTCTATTATAAACACTGATTGACACTTCTAAAAATGTTTTGACAGAAAATAGTATATGATATCTTTTTTTTTAAGATCATTTCATGGTGTCAACCTGCTTATAACACAGTATCAGTCAATAAAGTTTTAATTAAAGTAACATTTAGAAGGACAAGACGCTTCAAAGTCTCAACTTAAAGTCTGTATTTTTTCATAGTAGAGGAATAAATCTTGGTTGAAATAACATATTTCTACAAATATTGGAACACTGTCAGCAAAGCTGTCTGAAGTACTTGTTAAAACAGACAAGTCCCATTTATTTGGATGGAGCTTTTCTTTACTAGAAACTCCTGATTGTGCCTAAAGATGGCAACCCTTGTCTACTGTGCAAATATTACCAGGCAAAGCACCAGTAGTAGTAGGATTTCAGACATTCATCAATGCCAAGATGGATTTAGTTTAGAGAAAAACAAAATATACCTGTGGTAAAAGTGACAGCAAAATCTTTTTATTGTAAATTCAAAAAGAAATGTAGGAGGTGTCAGGAGAACTTAAGCAAGAGAGATGAAAACAGAGAGGAAGGAGAGAAAAATACTCAAGCAAAGCAATTTACTAGAAACATGAGTGAATGAAATAACATTGCAATGCCAGGATGAAAGTATCCTCATAATGACTGTCTTAAAAACACATAAAACATTTACAACAGCACTTAGAAAAAACCCCCACACAAAAGGTATTCAGAAACCTTAATGACCCAAACCATCCTTCCTCTGTATGTCTTAATTTACACACATAATGATTTCTACAAATGTTAAGAGGCATCTACAGCCTCAGTTAAAAAAAAAATAAATAAATCAGCAAACAAGTTTTGCTCAAAATCAACAATTAAAATATGAAACAGTGCAAAGATAAGGCATCCTAGTGGAGAAAAAGTATGTGAATCTCAATTTTGATAAGATTATGTTGTGGTGTTGAGTAATGCATAGGTGTTTAACTACAGCGTGATACATGGCAATCACATGGTAAAATACCCTGTGAATAAACACCATGTGAAGCATTTAGGGACCTGATTCAGGTATTCCTGCTACACGTAGGCAGAAATATGTGGTCACCACTGTGGGCAGCTGTCACAGGGAGTCAATCTCACTCCCTGGCAAGGGCATTTGCCACATCTCAGTTCCACAGCACTCAGAAGAAAGGCTCTCAGCACAGCCCTCAGTGGCAGGTGATGTTAAACAGATGTGAAACAATTAACATATTCTTCTTTCTACAGTACCCTGACCAACCAAAAGGTCTGAATTTCCTTCTTTCATTATTATATTCTAGGTGTGACCAGATTGCACAAAACTCTTACTTCTGGTCCTGTGGCTGGACAAAGTTCTTGCTTGCAAAACAGAGGATTTCCAGCATCTTTGGTTATACTGGAAATGCTGGTTTATTAATGCTGCTATTCCATCTCTACCAGAATACTATTCCATTTTGTTCTACAAACGATAGCCATGTTATTATAGATTGAAATGTTTCTCTGCATCCTCATGTGGTGTCTGGTACAGCAGTGAAACAGAGTATGCAGTTCTTTGTTGAAAATGTGTGACATTTGTATTCCCTACTCAGGGACCACCAATTGATTCTGGGCCCTGTCCAAGAGTGCTCAAATTTGTGGTTGTGTTACAACTCTATTCACAGGCTGATATATTTAATGCATTTTCTATTGCAGTTTCCCATAGGGAGGCAAGAAAAAGCATTGCTTTGTGCACAGAGAGCAACTCCTTCCATCATTAACAATAATAAATCATTAAACATTTTCTATTTTTTATGTTAGAAATAACTGCCATATGAGAAAATATCTACTTAAATGATGTAATTTAATTATCTTAGCCTCATCATCTGTGGTTTCTACCACATAAACTGTACTTCTGCTTTTGTTTTGTGCTTTTTCTTCCAGTTGTCCATAATTAAAAGCTTTATAATAATTTCTAATTGTCTTAGTAATTTCTTAGCTTAGACCCCCACATCCCACTCTCCCCCAACAATTTTCCAATTCATTCCTTTAAGACAAGGGAAAATATCTATTTCTGCGCTCAGCATTCTGAGACTTCACTGTGTTACAACTTCTGTTCAGTAACACACACAGTTCCCACTTACTGAATACTTTTATTATGAGACCTTGATGTGTATGCACTAAGTTCCAGGGGGCATGGATGGAAAATGAGTCAATGCTCCAGACAGATGCATTCCTTTCTGTATGTAATGCCACCATTTGAAATTCAAAACTTGACCAGAT